GGGGGGGGGGGGGCGGTTCTCTGTTACGGAGATCCCACCGGGCTGAGCACTGGCCACTTTCCCGGGAAGTATGTGGTGTACAGGGTACAAATGTATTATGTGGGTCTTTCCTTTTGTACGCTTCATTTTGACAAATTTTTGCTACTCACCAGCTTTATGTAGTCAAGGATAGAGGTTAGGTTGGGTCTGTAGAAGCTTGTGGTGCACAGGTATGGGGCCTAATTTTCAACTTTCAAAGCCTGTGTCCCAAGCAACCGGCCCTGTCTTCCATGCTATGCAAAGATCCCTTTGTCCAGGGGCGTGGAGAGCCTGCCTGGGTGACGAGTAGTTCTTGGACAGCAGAACTGCCGAAGCCCCGGTGCGGCAGGCGCCATCCTTGTCTGTAAAAGTGCTGTGGTGCAAAGGATCGAGTGTCTACAGAATCAGAGAGGTGGGGGCTGGCTGCCTCTCTGGGTCTTTGCTTCCAGGCTGTAGACCTTGCTGTAGACTTGCTGAAGACCTGACTTTTCCCGAGCAGGGACGAAGGCTCCCCGCGGAGGTCGGTGGCAAAGGCGTGCCTCTGGCCTGTCCTGGATAGGCTGTCCCTGGGCACAGGGCCTGCTTCCTGGGGGGCTGCTCTGCTGAGTTCCCCAGTCTCTCTGCTCCTTGGCAAGTTGCATTTTGGAAAGGGAGAAACTGTGGCAAATAGGTGATCAGGTCAAAAAGGGGGGGAGGGGGGGCGCGGAATCAGCTGGTCTATAAGATATGCTAAACGAGATTTCATATAAAAGGTGTTTAAAAAGCCATCATGGACAAAATGTTTTCCAAAGCAGGCATGCATATATATATATATTCAAAAACCTTTTTTTTTTTTTTGTAAAAGCAAATTCATTCTGTGCAGAAACTCTTGCCCAAGGAATCCCCTTTCCCCTTTATAAGACAAACACTCTTGTTTGAAACAGGAGTTCTTCCAGGTTCTCGTTTGTCAGTCTGATGAAAATAAATTGCGCTGAAAGAATCGTGTGTGACCTCTGCTGGGGGGCTGTGCTGCCCACCTGTCTGCACGCCGCCCTTGGTTCTTGGACGTAGCTCGGGCCGGGCCGCCTCATGAGCTAGGGAGGAGCAGCTCCTGTGGACGCTCACAGTTGCACATCTTCCTGCGATTCTGTCTCGCTGTTTCAGAGACCCCAGCCTCCACATGGACAGGGTTTTGCTGGAGTCCTGGCGGGCCCTGATGGGTGAGGTCAGCAGTTGGAAACCACCAGCTGCTCTGCGGGAGAAAGACGAGGTACTCCACTCCCACAAAGAGTGACCGTCTCGGAAATTCACAGGGGGAGTTCTACCCTGTCCTAGAGGGCACTGTGGGTCAGAACCGAGTCAATGGCAGGGAGTGCTGTTTGCCCAACCAGGAGAGGAGATCAGAGTGCCCACTCAAATGTCTCAGCATGCCCTTTGTTAGTGGGGGAGTGGCTCAAGAAAGCATCTTCAATTCTATGGCATGGGTGCCCGCAGGTTACCCCTGGGCAGTGGCCTCCCTGGTGGGGGAAGGGCTGTGGCTGAACACTTGCCGACTGAGTGCCCCCAGGAGATGGGCCAGTGTCGCTGTGAGGTCCTCACCATGTGTGGGTGCACACGCGTGCATGTATACACACACCACACAGGAAGGCCTGAGGTGGTCACGCAAAGAAAAAGGAGATCAGGTGGTATCGTGAGCCTGTGTTTTGGTCATCAGACCTGTGTTCACTGTCCCTTCTGGTATGAATCATACTTGTGGAAGGAAAGTGCTTTCCATATTTCCTCTTGGAAGAAGTGCCCCAAAGGCCAAGAAGTCCCAGGAAATCACGCTGTCCCGTGGCCTCTTGGAGGAAGTCAGCTTCGCTCTGCCACACGCTTTCCCTTCGGTGCCTGCAGCCAGCAGCGTGCAGGGGACAAAACTCAGGGAAGGGCCGCTGGATGGGAGCCTCTTGTGGCCACCAGAGCCTCGGCAGGTGTGTGCACATGCCAATGCATAAGCCCGCATACCACGCACACAGGTTCTTTTTGTTGAAAGATAAACCTGTCTGCCACTTAGGATTCCAAGTCCATCTCAGTTTTACTTTTCCTCCTCTTTAAAAAAAATCATCTTTTTTATCCTTTGAGGGCCAAGGAATGTGGAAGGAATTGTTTTTTCAAGAAACAGACTATCTATTTACACCACCCATTCTCAGGAGATGAAAGCAACAACAATATCCTATCAAACCCTCCCTTCATGACTGCATGCATGTTCACGCACATGTGTACACATACATGCTCTATGCACACGGACGTGTGTGCCCCATAAACATGGACACGTGTGCACAACCTGATGTCCTCTCAGACAAGTGCAGGCACATGCACACGTGTGTCCTGCCAAGATAATGCTGGTGCGTGCACATGCACACAAGAAACCTAACCGATTGCCATCGCACCGATTGCCATCGCATGGATCCAGTGAGGTTGGCTAGGCACAGTCCACCCCCCTGGGCTTTCTGCCCCTAGATCTTGATAGAACTGGACAGGGCCTCCTCATCCTTCTCCCTGAGTGCCCACTGGCCTGCCCATAGTGCCACTAGGGCTTCGTGCACCTGTGTGCCCGCGCACACATCCTAGGGAGAGTC